CTAAGGTAGTCCACTGGTTCAATGTTAACAATTTATTACTTAATGAAGGAAAAACGAAATGTATGAATTTGTATTACCTAATGCAAAACAGGTAAAAACCAGTGTGAATGTAAAGGATAGGAATGTGGGCCTTGTAGACACCACAGTATTCTTAGGGATAACTTTAGATTCTAAGCTTCAATGGGGCCCACATATTGATAAATTGTCAAATAGACTTAGCTCTGCAGCATATGCCGTAATGAAAATACGCCAGTTAACGGATGTAGATACTGCCAGATTAGTGTACTTTAGTTATTTCCATAGTGTAATGTCGTACGGAATTTTATTGTGGGGAAATGCCGCCGACATTCAAACTATTTTTGTGCTGCAGAAGAGAGCTATTCGATCAATTTATAATCTTAAAGTTAAAGAATCATTAAGAGATAAGTTTAAAGAATTTGGAATAATGACGGTCGCATCACAATACATATACGAAAATTTATTACTTGTAAGAAAAAATATTAATTTGTTTCTTAAAAACAGTGATGTTCACACAATTAATACAAGAAACAAAAATAAGCTAACTTTACCTGCTACTAGGCTTCACAAAATTAATAATTCATTTAAAGGTCTTTGTGTTCGCTTATACAATAAAGTCCCAAGCAATATCCAAGAGTTAGCCATAAATAAATTTAAAGATATTATAAAAAAAACACTTATTAAAAAAGCTTATTACAAAGAGTCTGATTATATTACAGACAAAAATGCTTGGGTTTGAACTGTTCCAATCATTCCAACAGGTTTTCTATATTAAATAAATCATAATTGTATTGACGTTGTAACAACATAATGATTTGTAAATGTTGTTACATTAGACTTTTAATGTTGTGGAGTTTTTTTCGCTCGTTTTTCTCCGCAGCTAAAAAATATGTCCATAACGAGTGGTAGGGAAAAAAAATTTTTTGGACGATTCAAAAGAGTTGTACTATACATCCAATTTGAATAAAGATATATTGATTTCTGATTTCTGATTCAGACCTAAATAGTATTAAATTTAGTAATTATAATTTAGCTTCTAACTATTCCCGTGGACAAACAAGCAGAGGTGGTGTTTGCATATTCATAAAAAAATCCCTAGAATTTAAAAAAATACACTGGTTAAATGACTTTGCTTGTGATAGAATATTGGAATGCTGTGGTATTAAGATTTCAGAACCGAATCTAGTAATAATATGTATTTATAGGCCCCCAAACAGTAATTTCGGGATATTCTTAGAAAGACTTGATAGGGTGCTTTTTAAAATCGAAAATTGCGAAAATCGCGAAAAATGACTCATAAACTTATATTGGTTGGAGATTTTAATATAAATATTTAAGAAGCTAATAAACACAGCAAACTGTCGACATCTTTATTAATGACATATAATATGAAATGCACAATAAATGAACCAACTCGTATCACACCTACCGCCAGCACTTGTATTGACAATATCATAACTAATTTCAGTTAACATAATACAAAGGTATTAAATAATGTATTATCAGACCACACTGGTCAAATGATATCGTTTCCTTACACTCGAAAGCATGAATGTAGATACTGGTATGAGATAAAAGAATAATTGACATCAACTTAGACATCTTCAAAAAATATATCTCACAGGTCAGTTTTGCGGAAGTATATGAACAGAATGATGTAAATTCGGCTTATGATAAATTTCTAGAAATATTTAAACTGATTTTTGATCTTTGTTTTCCTATACAACGGTATAAAATGACCCATAGAGTAAAACCAAATTGGTTTACTAAGGGTATAAAAATATCATGTAGGCGAAAGCGAGAGCTACATAAAGCAATATTAAAACGAAGAAATCTAAGCAATATATATACATATAAAAAATATAAAACGAAATTAAAATATGTGATTGCTTATTCTAAAAGGCAGAGTAATTTGAAATATATTAGGAAAAGTACTAATAAAGCAAAAGCCACATGGGGTCTAATAAAATTACATACAACACAAAAAACTAAATTAAAAGAATCAATAAAAACATTAAAAAATAACGATATAATTTTAACTCAACCACAAAACATAGCCAACTATTTAAATGATTACTATGTCAAATTAAACGCAAATAATACAATAATAATAATAATAATAATAATTTTTTTATTCAATACAACCCATAATCAATACATTCCCCGTAACAGCTCTTTGACTAATAGCATATTTCTAAAACCCACAACTTTTAATGAAATAAAAGACTGCACTAAAAAGCTTAAAAATAAAAAAAGTTGTGGATATGACGGAATATCAATTCAAATAATAAAATTATGTATCAATATAATTGCTCGCCATCTGGTTTATTTAATAAATATGATGATAGAAAAATGCTGTTTCCCTGACAGTTTAAAAATTGCTAATATTAAACCAATACATAAAAAAGGACCTCGGGACATGGCAAGCAATTACACACCAATTGCTCTACTTCCAGCGTTTTCAAAAATATTTGAAAAGGTTTTATACACGAGATTGATGGAATTTATTGAGAAGAATAATATATTAAGTAATAACCAATTTGGATTTAGAAAGGATTTGTCAACATCCTCGGCTGTCTATAGTTTTTTAAAACATGTGTGGAAATCAATAGATGAAAAAAAATACTGTGCAGCCTTGTTCATTGATATGTCACGTGCTTTTGATTGCACGTGCCTTTGATTGCATTGTTCATTCTATTCTGCTTAAAAAACTTGAGCATATTGGAATTCGAGGTTACGCGTTAAAACTAATAGAGTCATATCTTTTTAAAAGAATGCAAACAGTAAATTTGACATATTTGGATAGGAAAACAAAAACTTTGCAGGAAACTAAATCAGAATATCAAATAATTCCAATAGGTGTGCCGCAGGGCAGCATTCTACGGTCATTATTTTTCCTTGTCTACATCAATGAGCTACCAAATATTATTAAAGATCTATGTACAATGTATGCTGATGACGCGACTATTTTATTTGTTAAGAATGACGATATGTGTAAGAATGACTTTGAACTTAATATATCTCTGACATTACAAAATCTGACAACTTGGCTTAAATCAATCAATTTAACAGTTAATTTAATAAAAACTAGCATTCTACAACTTAGAAATTATAAAAAAGAACATTTGGACCTTAAAATTGCGGTAAATGGCACCAAAATAAAAGAAGTAGAATATACTAATTTCCTTGGTAGTACCATAGCTACTCACTTGAATTGGAAACATCAAATAGAGAAAATTAATGACAAAATAAGTAGTTATTGTTACGCCCTGTCAGTGTTGACCGATATATCATCCACTGAGGTAGCATTAAATGCTTATTATGGTAATATATATTCCATATTAAGCTATGGAATCATATTTTGGGGCAATTCTGTTAATGTTGAAAGTACATTCCTATTACAAAAAAGGTGTTTAAGAATAATTTTTAATAAATATAGTGACGAATCAATGCGTAATATTTTTAAAGAAAAACAAATTTTAACATTGACCTGTATTTATATATTAGAAATGTGTAAATTTCTAAGATGTCATATGTCTGAATTCCCAAAGATCTCTGACAAGAGAGCTAGAGTAACCCCGATGAGACGTGAAGACAAATTACATTTACCTCGGTCAAATTCAGCAATTTTTGAAAAAAGTACTTATATGTCTGCCATACGAATATACAACAATATACCGCCTTATCTGCGGTCACTTCCTGAATATAAGTTTGTAAGGTCCCTGAAGCAATGGCTATTATATAATGCATTTTATAATCTTAATGAATATTTTATTAATAATGTTTTATAAAAATGACTATTGCATGATCGATTAGGGTAACTGTTTATTTCAATTATGTGTACTAACATCTAGCAGTAATACTAAATGTAACAGTTTTGCAATAAAGAATTATTCTATTCTATTCTATTCTTTTCTAGATTTTTTTAATGCAAATAATAAATGTACGGGATCATATACATTCAACCTAGAGAAATTGAAATATTCCCAGTTTTTGGTAATACATAAGCACATAAATGCGTTGAAGTTTAAATAAGCAAATACTATATTTTAATAATTATTTTGACATATTTTTTAATTCTCAGTGTAAAAATGCAAAAATATTACCTATATTGAAGGAATTAATATACAATATAGCAAGCCATACATGGCATATATTTGAAATTATACCAGTGGTATAATCTCAAATAATATAAGGTGGTATAATACCTCCAGTTTGAACTAAGGGTACAAGTGTAAAAATATAAAATAAATCAATTAATGTAAAATTGAGTTTACAGAACATTCTTTTATGTTATATTAAATCAAAAAAGCAACCAAAAATATCTTAAAAGGTCTGGGTTAAAATTGAATGAGATTTTACAGATAGACATCTGATTAGTAACTCAATCAATAGACACAAGTTTCAATCCTGGGGGCATTTGGACCAGCATCCATTAATTTTTGCCCATTGTCTTCTAAAAAAGCAAGTGACATTTTATATTTTTTTTCCCCTTCAGATTAAGGAGCATGTTGATCAGTTATTATATTAGTGAGGGATTATGATTTGTTAAAACATTTTATTTATTATATTTTACTTATATTGCCTTTATTTAATGATTAACTCAATACAGGGCAATACATGAACCAAAGAAATTTATAAAATTAATGACCCTCTTGTGCCAATACTGTCTCCTCATTGATGAAAAAAAAAATGTTGCATTTATTAATGTTATGATAAGACAGTAACTAACCTGTAGAAATACTCCAAATTGAATGTAATCACTTACATGTGTATATGGTTTGTTTGAATTTTTTGACCAAATTGAATATTTATTTATCTATATTATATGATTATTTATCAGAAAGAGATGATGAAGAAATATTTGTCATTGCGCAATCTGTACTTACGTGTAGACTAGATAGGATAGACTAAGGAACTAGATTTACATCAGCAAAACAAACAAACATTTTCGAGATTCAGCAAAAAAAAGTGAGACATACCATCATTTTCTCGAGTTCAATATCTTTCCACTTATCCATGGTGACGGACCGTACGAAAGATAAGTGGACCCCAAGGCTGCGGTGAATGCCCGAACATTCTAAGCATATCCAGATGCCATACGTCACCGAAACCCACTGCGGGTTCAGGGTACCACACTCGAAACATTTCTATGGAAACAATTTAACTAGTTAAGCAGTTCCCTCGACATCAGATTCAGCAAACATACGGAAGAGATTAAAATCCATAAAACTACTTACGTGGTTCTCATCACTTGTTTGTATAGAATTTAATTTACGTCTGGTACGCGGTGATGCCATTTTTATGTACGATTTAAGTTAATAAACGTAGTCACTTGTATTTCACAAAAACTCACACAATCAAGGGTCAAGAACAAACTAAGAAAGAAATTCACCTGAATTCACCCCCCGGATGCTGAAAATGTCAAATTCAGAATCAGATGTCCACTTGGCAACCATAGACATTTTTTTATATATATTTTTTTTTTGGTTACTTTGTCCCTGTTGGGACGGGCAAAGGATTCTGAGTCCATATAGCCCTGTCTGTTAACTTTTCTTCCTTAAAGTGTTTTGATTGTAGCTTTTACAAAATTGTATAAAGGAATGTAGGTGTCTTTATTTTGTAAAAGTTTTCTCAAGTCGCGCGGGATGGTTTCTTCACCAAAAGTACTTCGAAGGTCTTGAAGCAGCAAATTTCTCTGTACTTGAAATGAACCGCAAAAGAAAAAGATATGGTCCAGGGACTGATTATCTATGTTGCAGAAGTTACAAATAGGTGAGCTAACCATCTTGAGCCGGTACAGGTGATCTTTAAAAAGGCAATGACCTATTCTAAGTCTGCATATAGTGGTATAAAAATCTTTTGTTCTGTACTGTCCTTTATCAAACCAGGAGGCGCGTATGTCTTTCTGGATTTCTCCAAGCCATTTTCCTTTCTCTTGCAGAGATATCTTCCAGTGGTCAAGCCATTGGGTCTTGATTTCTAGTTTGAGGTTAGGCATGAGATCTGTATATGGTACAGCTATATCTCTCACAGCACATCTGTCGTTTCTCACTACAGCAGTACAAAGAGTATTTGCATCTTCATTTCCTTGAACTCCGATGTGTGAAGGCGTCCAAAAGAAGGCCACTTTAATATTCTTCTGCTGTAAGTTTCCTAATTTAATTCTTATCAATTCAATGATATAATTTGTGTCAGCTCTGTAGGTGTGGTTCTGCAATGCATAAAGCACACTTTGACTATCTCTTACTACTAGCCACTTTTCTATATTACGCTCAATATCTTCTATGTAGCTTAATCCTTCGAAGATGGCTAGAGCTTCTGCAGTAAAAATAGAACAGTGGGGATTTATCTTAACACCGAAGCCAGTTTTCTTGTGAGGGATGTAAATAGCAATTCCAGTAGATGAAGCAGTTTTTGAACCATCTGTGTATATTTTTCTATAACTCGACCATTTATACAACTCTCTATATACATATTGCTTAGTTTGCAACTTGTTATCAATATCAACTTGAATGTCATTAAATTTACTATCATAGTTACCCCAGTAACAAGGCCAATTCATATATCTTTTTACAATATTAAAATAATTGTTATATAAAGTATTTACACTTTATTTCGTACTTAGACAGCTCGCGAAATTAAGCCCATAAAGCCTGAACACTACATATTTCTAATGGCCGGCTTACATTTTATAATATTAGTCTGTACTTATAATGAATTATAATGAATTAAATTGACAGACTAATATCAAGTTTACAATCAATAGCAAACACGAATGAATAATAATATGTGAAGTGGTAGCATGAATCTAATGGCAAGTATAAATCGAATAAGAATAAATAGTTAAAAAAGCATCTGATGCTGACTGAATAGCAGATGTTGAAGAGAAGATAATCAGAAGACGTGTTTGGGTCCGACGATGGGTTGCTGATCGCAATGAAACTGAAGGATCTGCATTACTTTTAAAGCAGCTTAGAAACGAAGATCCGTAAGAGTCCTAAATAAATTTAAGGCAATATCCTACAATGTTTGACGAACCCCTACAACAAAAAACATTCAGGAATCAGATACTTTATTTAGAGATTGAAAATAAAAATTTAAAAATCAAGTTTAGTCTAATAGCAACAGAAACAAACGTGTGCCGACATAGGCCGTATACAGAAAGAAAGGCGAAAGCCGATCGGCGCCGATCAGCGCCGATCGGCGCCGACTCGCGCTGGTCCGAATAATAAATAATTTGTATTTGAATTATTTTCCTTAGATTAAATCAATCTAAGTTATAATCTTTTTATAAATCTAATAACTTTATCTTTTATTAACTAAGCGCAAAAATTATTTGTTTCGTACTTATCGAATGGTGACAACAAGTCTTTCTTCTGGAAGGATTGGTTGTTTATGCCAATTGCCCCAATTTTTCATCAAACGGTTTTTCACTAAATCCAAAATGTTTCTTGAATAATTCTTGTATATGTATAAAATCTTTGTTCATCAAATTTAAATTTTTTTACAAATAAATTATGGTATTCTCCGAAACGTTTCCTTTCTCTATTTATAGGATGTATAGCTGTTTTTCGCATTTTTAAATAAACATTTTCTAACAAAATCAAATCATCGTCCGAAGAGTCCGACATTTTGCTTGATCTGCTTTAATCGGCTTCCTTTATGTAGGAAGGATCGGCGCCGATAGGCGCCGATAAGCGCCGATCGGCGCCGATCGGCTTTCGGCTTTCTTTCTGTATACGGCCTTACGCTCGCTGTCAGTATACTGGATAGATACCAAAGTGGTCTTTCACATCATTCCAGTAATATTCGAGTAAACAATGAGGATACAGACCAGTTTAATTGAGAATGCAGATTTATAGAGCTATTCCATAAAATACAGTGGTTGAATTTTTGTTCTACGACAAATATTGACGAAGTTATGACCAAATTAGTAAAAAAAATTTTCGACTGGCTCGCGTGGTGGCTGTGACGTCACAAATCTCTAGCGCTCCGCTCGCGCTAGAGTTTGTGTGTTTGCTTATCTAAGAAATTACTGGTCCGATTTGCAAAATTATTTTTGTTGACTCATTTCTTTGTCGCACTATCCGTAAATGGAATGCTCTGCCCGCTCACGTGTTTCCTCCCTCTTACAACCTGGGATCCTTTAAAAGAGGCGTGAAGAAGCAACATGCAGGCCGGCGGGTGAGGATGGCTGGTGTGGTAGGTAGAACTGCTGTATCAGCTATCTTCACGTCTGGACTTCACTTTCACTTAACATCAGGTGGAGTGAAGTCATTTGTCGGACCTATCTATAAAAAAAAAAAAAATCGATACTGGAATATATTTTAACTACTATACTATATATCCTAGTTAATATTATAAATGTGAAAGTGTGCATGTTTAATGTTCATTACTTAATCACGTAAAAACTACTAAATGGATTTGAATGAACTTTGGTGCGCATATAGACTTTGACCTGGATTGTAGTAAAGGGTACTTTTTATCCCGGTAAGATGTAACTTCCTGTGGGATTTTCAAAAAAACTAAAATTAACGCGGACTATGTCGCGGGCGGTTGCTAGTTAACTATAATATTATTTATTTACCACAAAGAAAAACACGCACTCTGTTTATATGACGACTAAATAACGTAGTACTTTGGGGAATTCCTAATTAAGTCAACAGAACTGCAGAACAGAATTTTAATTTCACTTAAATCGTCTTAGTTCTTAAACGATTTGCCTGTCATGTCCTATTTATAACTTGCTGACCATTTGATCCTAATTGAATTTAAGACTGAATCTGGGAAACCAACAGAACTTTAATGTAACAACTAAAATGTAACAACTTTTTATCCAAAATAGCGTACCCAGAACCGTGAGAGCTGAACAGTTGAAATTTTCATAGATGATGTATTTTTGTTGCTGCTATAAAGAACAAATACTAAAAATGGAATAAAATAATTATTTAAGGGGGACTCCCAAAAACAAACGTGTTTTTTTTAAAGTTTTTGCTCGATAATTATAACGGCAACAGTTGGACGCTTGAAATATTCACAGGATATTTTGTTGTACTTAGATTTACTTTAAAAATAAATTAAAATAATTATTTTAGGGGGCTCCCATACCCGATGCGATTTTTTGCTCGATATTATAATTGTATAATATCGAGGTCAGTCCATTTCATCACGACATAGTTACTTTTACTTTGGGATCGTGGATCACTAAAATAAATTTATATAAAGAAAAGTTTACTAGAAAAAAATCCACGCGGACCAGTTTTTTTTTTTCTAGTAAACTTTTCTTTAGATTTAAACATCTAGCAGTTAAATGCTTAAAAAATAAATAAAATCATAAATTTATATTTTAAAAATTATGTTTAAAAATAAGCTTATATTTAATTATATCAGTTTATTCGTATTCTTCTCAACAAACCCTTTGGTTTGATATTGATACTCATGTTAGTGCATAAAAAATTCTTACTAATCCGCCATCTTAAGCCGTCCACCATTTGATTTAGAATGACGTCACTTAGCTAACCACGCATTGTTATCGATTTTGGCATGAAATCATGCCTATCATTCTATAAGTCTGCATGCTTTTAAACTACCAAAAAGCATAAAAAAATAGTTCTTAATCAGCCTATTTTTGTTGTAATTGGCCTTCGAAGGCGGATAGGCTAAAAATCATAGAAACATGATTAAAGCATTAAAATTTTTTTATCTACTTTTTATCATTGGTATGGTAAATTTAACTTATAAATGTAATTTAAAATTAAATTTAATTGAAATTCCTGTAAAATAACTTTAGCAAGATTTATTTTCTTTTATTAAAACAACATTCAAGAGAATTATGTCACAAAAAAAAGACTGAAAAATACTTACTAGGAAAAAAATATGAATTTTTGAAACCTCGCTGGCAGAAATCATTAAAAATACACAAAAAAAATATATAACTCGAAAACTAAGAAAAATCGCGGAACATACATGGGGTATTTTCGGATACCCCCAGGTGCAAGGAATCTAAAAAGAAATTGTTGACGACACTAATAGGACTACCCATGTATAAATTACAGTTTGTCTATGAAGTCGTGACATTAAATGATGGCGCCACTAGTATGCATGTAGCAACCCTATACAGTCTGACCAAAATGATTTTGATACTAGCAGTTCATTCAAGTAAAATAGGTAATAGATAAGACACACTATACAGTCGTATTTTGTTTCTGTTTTATATATAGTAGGTATGCTTATAAAAAGTTTAGCCAAGCATATTTAATTGAATCAGAATAAAATTATTATAGATAAAATAGTACTTTATAGTGTAAAAGTGTGTAATGTTGGTGATTACCGCTGAGGTGCCATTGAGACCAGAGCCCTTAGGTAATCATCAATACACACAAGTATCATCATACGATGTTTTTTAACACACTTGTTAAGAAAATAGTAATAAATCATTTTATAGTATATAAAAAGTTTATTTAGAGAAACAATTTGTAAATGTGCAGTTAGTAAAATTAGTGATAGGTATCTTCACTAAAAGCATCTGGCCATGGTTCTTTATGTGACCATTTCTTTCTTTGGTCGACCTTGCCTGTTTTCCCAGGAGTTTGTTTCAAACTTTCCATCATTCTTAAAACCTTCGTTGACTATCCAGCTCTCTAATTTTCCTGAAAAAAAGTAAAAAAATATGTAACGGAATAGAAACAATAACTTATTGACATGAAGCAATTAATTCAAAATTGGTAGAAAACCTGACCGAGTTGAACCATAATAACGTATCAAAAGAAATGGTCGTACTACAATATTACCTATTTACATGTCAATCTAACCTAAAAATGTGCAATGTAAACAATGCCTTTTTTGGTCTCAAAATCGTAAATTGAGTAAATTTGTAACTTCAGGTAGATTACAAACAAATAGTTACACGATTACAAACCCGTCATAGATGCTGTTCGCCCTTAAACATCATCCAAATCCCACAAAATTTGTCCAGCTTGGTAGTCTTCGAAACATCGCTGGAAAACTTTAAAAATCACTTCCCGCGTACCACTCCGATTTACTTTTCTCATTTTTATACCTTTCTGCGTAGTTTCGTCTTAATTTATCGCAGTTTAATCCAAACAATAAAAAATACAAAAGGAAAACTTCTACAACTGAAACTCGATGACAGCTGATGTACATAAGTTTGGTGTTGCCAGACACATCAATAATGTTAGTTCTTCAAACATTCATGTCACGACTTTATATACAAACTGTAAAACCCCCGTCTGCGATACCAAAGTTATCACCAATAATAAAATAATGATATAATGTATAAGAGAAGAAAGAATTTATACTATTTAAATTTTTAAGAATTTTTAATTAAATTATCCGTTGTATAAAAACATCTCAATTTAGTAAAATAAATGTTTTTTAACTCCGCTGTGTGCACGCTGTTTGATTACCATAGACATAGGCTGTCTCAATGACATTTAAGATAAGGTTCAAAAAGGTTCAGTATACAGCGCCGTAAAACCTTAAAAAAGTAGTGGTGCACTCTAGAAGAAGGGAACGGGAATACCTACCGCACGGCATATTATTTCTAGAGTTTTGCTTGTTCACACCGTTGCTATTTATCTAAACTTGCACAAAAGGTTTTCAAGTTGTGTTGTAATTAAGCTCTGGCGCTTACCCGTTTCTGTGAGAGTTGAGATTCGAGCCGATCGTTCCTTGCCGGAGTTCGGTATCCGGGACATCGACACTTTGTTCCTGAGACGCCTGAAATGATAGTGCTTAAATGAACGACGGAAATATGACTACCAACAGCGTGGAAGCCGAGTATGCAAACATAGCCAACCGTAATGCTTGGCCTCTCGTTTATCAGGTACGTTCTCGTAGGTGTAAAGTACGTTTAATTTGCCACGCATTCGACAACTACAAACTGTAAAGTGCTCCTAGTTTAAAAAATAATCACGAACAAAGTTTGTTATGTTGTTACTTTCGCGCCTTCCCTTTGAAAAGTGATGAAGTAGGATAATATTCGGTGTACTTATGGGTATTTTGAACACAAAAAAGTTTCTTTAAGTTGTGTGTGAAACTTCTAGGAAGATTTAACTTTTTGATCACTTTCTGAGTTTAACTTGCAATTCATTAGCAATTTTCCAACATCTTCATATTTCAGCCTGTTACACATATTTTGAGGTTATTCATAATATATAGTTTGTTTGGGACATGCATACTTTATTTATTCCACCAAGGTGAAAAAAATACGTATCACTATATATATCACATAATTGCTGGCGAAATTTTAAAATAATTACAATGTTTTTGTGTCATGCATTAGCCTAGTACCTAAAGTAGATGCAGTTATTATTATTTTTACTTTTAAAAACAAATGTATTTCTAGGTATATTAATGTAATAAGTCTTATTTTATTATGTACAATCTTTCAAATCAAATGTGTTAGCAGATATGAAGTATTGATTTGAAAAACATGAATCATTTTCTGTAATTTTTTGCAACTTTTTGCCAAAATGTTGCACACTACCATTCCTTCAGAATACATTCCATATATGTTATATCAACTCACTAAAAATCAAATATCATATAGGTTAACCAAAATCAATAACTTTTTCTTATATATGCCTGGGTAAAAAAAATACAATTTTTTTTAAGGAAGAGGACACTTTTTACTTCGTGAGCTACTAGTTTATCCTTTATGCCAATACATAACATTTGACTAACATGAGCGAAAAAACATCACCAACACACTTAGCAAATGAAAATCTAAAATTTACTGAAGATGGATCATTAATGTATGTAAATTTTAAAATAATGTTTAAAACTGCTTAATCTTATTGATCTTATACATGAATTTATTAGAAATAATTAGGAGCTGTGTGAACCTAGCACCTGACTTTGGAAAATCTTATCAATTTTTAGTGATTCTTAAAGATTTTCGTATGTAGTTGATTGTAGTAAAAATTATAAAAATTCGAATTTCTTACAGTAATCTCAGACATTGATTGTAGTGAAGTTTTTTTCATTTGTAGTTGCTTACAAATTGAAAAATAACTTATTTCTTGCAGCCACATATTTGAAATTGTTTGTACTTGATTGTAGTGAACTTTTTTTTGTATGTAGTGTCTTCATAATTGAAAAGGGAACTTATTTCTTGCAGCCACATATCTGAAATCGTTTTTAGTTGATTGTAGTGACCTTTTTATCATATGCAGTTGCTTCAAAATTGAAAAAGAAACTTATTTCTTGCATCCCCATTGCTGAATATATGAAATTCAGTAGAGTCAGGCCAACAGCAACTAAAATATAATAGTTGAATTACTTGCATGTATTTAGATTTTTACATATTACTAAATACCTTACACTCTTTACCATATTTATTTAAGTATTTTATCTACGTGTGATAGGTATAGCTATAATTAGCTAAAGTAATAGGTGTCTGCCAAAATAATTAGTTATTATTTTTTAATTTTATTCACCTAAGCAGAAATATCTAAATATTTTTATTGTTGTGTTGTAGAATTATTGGTATTTTATGCAGAATGCGATAGTGTTGACTGCAAAGCTACTAAAGCAGAGCGAATTTTCCTTTAATTATTCTTTATTAACTGCAAACAGATGCCAAACCAATTTGAGTAAAATGCTTGGCTTAGCCTTTGCATTTTTGTATGAATAAATACAAACAAATTCAGATTCAATATAGTGGACAATAGACTTTGTACTGGGAAGAACCGGCAGGAAACAATAGTAGAACACAGAAACTTCACTTCAAAGAATGAATTTCATTAAACAGGAATCATGGAGTCACCTTTCATAAAAAAAAAATGTAATGGATATAAAATGTATAACAAAATGTTGTTCTGTTCAAGATGTAGGTGACTAGTATTATCCTGTAGACTATTTTGTTAAGGGGAAGAAAAAGAAAATGTTTATTACCATTTTCGTTTATTAACATTTTCATTATAGATATAAATTAAATTATTAAATAAAAATATACTATTATTAACACTTACAACACTGCTAAAATTAAACTACAATGTGTAGCAATTTAAAAAGAAATAAAAGTTTATTTTTATTTATTATTTAACATTGGAATGACTTAGATTTCGTCCATATTATTAGGGTTCCATACCCAAATGTTATATAAAAACGGAACCCTGCTAATAAGAGATCACTGTCAGTCACCAAGCGGTATCTCATGAACTGTGATAGCTAAGACTTGAAATTTTCACAGATGATGTATTTCTGTGGCCACTATAACGAGAAATACTAAAAACAGAATTAAGTTAATATTTAAGGGACTTCCAAAAAACTAACGTCATTTTTTGCTCTCATCATGATTGTAAATGCAAGAAAATTTGACCTCGTTTTTTTGCACACTTTTGATTTATGATAATTTATTTGTAATGGTTTTTTAAACATTCATACCAATTTTCAGCTTTATCCAAAGTAATGTAACCTCACTCCTATATTTGAAGCTAATTTGATTGGGCTCATAAGGTATAATTAAAATAGTGAAATAGTATAGAGCAGACCCATCTTCATTGGCAGCACCAGCTTTGCTTATCCATATTTTAGGATACGTAACATTGCTCTCGGTTAGCGTATCTGGTAAGGACATGACTCTATGCAAAGAAAACTATGAGAAAGAGTTGCCGCTAGCTTGTGAGAGTGTGAATCAACTAATACATAGTACATTCCTTTTATTTTATAAACATCTTACCAATTTTCTTTAAAGATATATTTGCTTTTGTTTTTAGTTAATTTGGATTTTCTTATCGGTATAGTAAGACTCATACTCTAACTCTAATACTCTCTGTATTCCAAGTTTTACCACTCCAATGTAGTGGTAAAGTCCAGACGCGAAGATAGCTGGTGCAATCGTTATAAACAACACCAATAATCCTCACATTGCCGGCCTGCACAAATGCTTCTTCGCGCCTCTTTTGAAGGACCCTGCATTGCCAAAAGGAGGGAATACATGCGCTTGCAAAGAATTCTCTTGCGAATAGTACGACAAATGAATTACCAAATCTCTTTGTTCGTGTAGGAATCGTTACCTTTTTTGCCTCACTCTTATTAGCGTAATTGAATCTTTATATTACCATGGGGACAATGACTTATTGCGGAATGTTCGATTACCATTCCATGGCAAGACAGAGGGCGTGCGTTGGCCGAGCAGCGCTACGGCCGATAAATTAAGTCCCAGTTGATGACAAGTCTGAGTGTGCAGATTGGGCGGTTATGATTTGATCAATGCTAAATTCGGTAAAGGGTCGCTTATCGAATAGAATATTTGATAGTATTTAAAAAAAAGGAGCAATAGGAGGCTACATCCCTGTTTTAGTTACCTGTTGAATAGAATATATTTGAAGCTTTAGCAACAAACATTACATAAATTAACTTGCTAATTGCCAATCAATTACTATGTCATTTTAAATGAAGTATAATAAATATTTAAAAAAAACGGGGATTAAATAAATTCTTGTTCTTTTTTTCAAACAATTTATATTTTACTACATGTCATATAAATTTGGAGTCTGCCGAAGACTGATTACCAACCTCCATACGAAATTGAACCGTGTCCTTTTCACAGATGATTTATTTCTGTTGCAGCTATAACAACAAAAACGACAAACGTGATATTTCCGCCGCTTTTTGCTCTATATTAATAACGGCAACCAGTCGTCTACTGGTTGCTACTTGCAATATTCACAGAATATTTAGTTATTTATTCACTTACTATAATATTTATAATAAATAAATATTTAAAAAAACACCAACAGACGTGATTTGTTGCCGTTGTTTGCTCGATAATATAGTGTCTTGTCTAATGTTTTATAGATAATGGTACGGAAACCTTCGTGCGCTGTTTTTTTTAAATGAATTTCGCAACACGTAAAGCGTGAAATGTTTTTATGGAGTCTTTAAACACTAGTGAATAACGTAAGATTGTATTCTTTCTTTCTTTTTTAGGTTTTCACGCACACCGCTCATTAAAATAAACTTGTTTGAACGGTATAAATGAACTGATTTATTTATTTATGACGTTATGATTTTTACTTACTGTGCCGGGCTGCCTTCGAAATACTTTTATTGAGCGTTCGGATATTACATTGGAAGATTTTTAAAATTTTATTGTGTATGTAAGAATTTATAAGCTTATTTAATTAATAAAGTACTTTTTTTATTATTTGTAGTTTATTTTTTTTTTTCACCATAACTACCGTAAATTACCACCAGTTCCAAAATTATCAGCATTGGTATTTTTATGGGTAGTCATACTCTCATAAAAATCACTAAAATATGCTTGAGCGAAGCGATGGCTGGTTCATGCGTCATGTTCGTGAACGGGTGCTGTCAGCGGAGATGAGCCTGCTCTTTTTACATTGGGTACTATTAATCGTTGTATTTGACTTTATTCATACATTTTTTATGCCTACATGGTAGGACACGGCTTTCCTAAACATTGTTAAGAGCCCTTAACAAAATTGCCGCTGCCCGTACTGATCGGTGCGTAGGTAGACTTGCACTGTATATATTGCATTTTACGGATGATGTTTCGAGTCTTATAAAATAATTATTAATGAACTATATAATTATAAAAAAATACATATTACAGTAGTTCAATGATGGTACATTACTTTTATGAAAGTTTTGGTAGTAATTCTATTTAATTCAATATCAAAATACCAGGTAAACAAGCATATTTTTTGGGAAAACTCACGGAGGTTAGATGTTTTTTTGATAATTAATTAGACGTAAAATCAAAATTCTAATACATTATGTTACAACAAAAACATATTTCTGATGTCTTACTAATTTATTGAACATTATTGAGAGATTGAAGCGTTTGAAGTTGTGCATATTATCGTTTTTTCTGTAAACTAGCTGCGGTAGAACGATCAGTACAAAAAAAGGAAAACAGTATTTGCAAATATTCTACATTAACTTACAATAGAAAGAATAAATGTACTGTTTACTATTGGAAATAGTCAAAATCTTATCTAAGGGGTAAACGAGGAGCTCAAAAATTACGATTTTGTGCAAAAAATGTGAAAGGGCAATAAAATCAGTTATTTATATTTTTTTATTTTATAGTTATAGTTTTTATTTACATTTGTAATAGAAAGTGACTCAATGACTTATCTCATATTGAAGACATTTTTCGCTATGACGACTGTATATAATACAGGGAGAAAAAAAACAGTCCTTGCTGAGTTTCTTGTCGGTTCTTCTCAGTACAAGGTCTCCCGCCATAGATTAGCGACCCCTTAAAGTAACTTTTCGACATTCACATGTGCTTGTAACAGCCTAGAGTGAATAATCGATATTGATTTTTTTTATTATAAATAAGGGACGATAATGCCCAAATTCTGATCCCAAATTAAGTAGCTAAACTACTTGTGTTATGGAATCTCGTGCCATGGAAATGAGGACGCATGAAATAAAATACGGCGCACGGTTTCACAGATTCTGACACCGCCAAGTCTTAAAGAGGTCTCGTAAATAGTCTTTGGTTCTTTAAAAATTCCTGACCGTTGGTGTTTTGTTTAAACAGAAAATCGGCCGTGAATGCCAGAACTACACGTACACGTGCATCGAGGCGAAGAAGCCACAGAACAAGCCGCTCAACCGCTACCGGGATGTGAACCCCTACGACCACAGTCGCATCATCCTAACGCGGTGTGAGCGCGACTACATAAATGCCAACTTGGTCAAGGTAAGTCGTAGGTCTATTCATCCCGGCATCAGGTAGGAGGAAGCACTGGGTTTTTAGTGACGTCACATGCATAATACCAAATCTCTAAACGAAAAAACGCAGTGTTCTTTTGGCAGCTTGGGCACGGTAATAATATCATACAGTATTCTATCTTCATACAAACGGTCGGAAAGCGAGTCATACCTACGCCACTCGAGTTCGATGTGCGCTCGGCGGGCACCCAGTCGCGAATGCGCCGCCGCGCCGCAACGACGACCGAACGGTCTGAATTGTTTTTAATGCAGTTAGCCGTGCTTAAACGTGCGTTTTGTATTGTAAATATTTGATTTAATTAAGTAGATACCTACATAATTTAGTATGGAAAAGAATAAACGACGATCAATATCGTACAACAGCACAATTGCTGTTTTTGGTTGCTTGAACTCTTCAATAACACACCCAGAGATATCATTTTTTAAATTACCTGAAATATTGGAAAGGTGTCTTACCTTTATAGAATATTTTTTTTATATATCTATCTACTAGTACGTAATTTGTTTCTAATATCTAGGTATTTCGGTTTTTCCATCGGGCAAAATATCTGGAATAATATATAAATAAGTGGTTAGGATGAAAAAAGAGACAAACGAGTAATCTACCTACACTCGCGTTAAAAACAAAACTACATAAACTACTGTAGGCTGGCGGCCCTACCGCGTGCAAACGCAGCGCTCGGTGTAGGCATTTATTTTCAAGGACAGGGCGGAGTCACAATACTGTATAGATAATATTACCGTGGCTTGGGTGCGTCCCAAACCTACACTCCAAGTGCACTTTTCAAGAGAATTTGACATTCGTTGCACCTGGACCGTAGGTTTGAAACGCAGCTCTTGTCTGCAAATGTCAATTTAATGATGTGATGCTAACTTAAATTCGGCCAATCATAGCCGCTTTCGGTGACATGACGTGATGCTAACTTAAGAGCATTCTTATTTAGCATGTCGCATTTCATTTTTGACTGTAATTAAAAAATCTGACCGTCATCAAGCATCGGTGGTTCAGTGGTAGAAAGTTCGTCTGCTACGCTAGGACTTTTTTTTTATTAATGATTTTAAAAGTGCACTTGTATCGTGATTTTATAAAACCACACATTTTTTTACCATTGCGAGAAAATGAATAGAATATCCATCATATTGTTTATGTTTTACAGGGACAAAACGATGTATTATATAGTATTATCAGGAATTTTTTTTTGTCTATGATTTGTATGATTGTGCTTTTTCAAATTCAAAATCTTTTTGTTCACTTAGTAAATAACAGGAGGTCTACTCTAGTTTAACGAAAAACGACATTTCGCACGTTCCATACTCGGTTTCATTTTCATTTCGAAAATTCGTTCGTCCGAAAATAGTTTGAAAATTAAATTCTCCAAGCATACTCTATTCAACAAACTTTCGAACGAAAAGTTGAATTTGACAGATGTTAATGTATGTTACCTTTTTTCGCTTTGAGATTTTTGTTTTAATTAAGCCTACAATGCTTGCAAGAGTATTTTTAATCAAGGCTGCTTAGCTCGAGAATCATTTTTTAGCATGTAAAATTAACAAATTAACCTATTTTTTATTATTTATTGTAACTCCAATACTTCAAAGTATTAAACGACAAATTTAGGTTGACATACAATAGATTGTATCAACTCTACAAATTAGACGGCTAACACTGTCAAAGAAGGTTCTTTAATATAATGTCATCAAAAATTTTGAGTAAAAAAAACGTAAACACAAAAGTAGAGATAAAAAGTAGTCACAAACATAACTCATTCCATTCGTTCACGAAAACTGTTGGTGGTTCCGAACTTTATGTGCCTGTTCGACAATGAAATAGAGTCAGTGGCGAAATATCTTTAAAATGCGTTCGTTACCGAAATTTCGTTTCGGAGAAAGAGAGTAAAGCTCCAGATAATTTTAATTAACTCTTATCGATGAATGGAAAGCCTCTTTTCGCGGAAAAATATTTTTGTTTCCTTTTTTTAAGTACTGATATTTTTATGAATGATGTTTGATAATAATCAAATCTAAGAATGAAGGTAAATAATAATTAATATTTACCTACATTCTTAGATTTGATTTCCGCGAAAAGAGGCTTTCCATTCATCGATAAGAGTTAGTTAAAATTATCTGGAGCTTATAATGATTGATTATAATCAATGCCGTGTTACCCTTAAGAACTGCGACTACCAGGATTTTTTCTTAGTCGCTTTTTGTTCGATAAGACTAGGAGTCTTTTCAAACTAGATTTAGTGTCGTGGGCTCTTAAGCTCTAAAGACTTGTTTTATTGTTCTAGAAACCTAAATAAACCAGGGCAGGATAGTGAATAAATAAATAAACAAAAATAAATTGGGTACTCAATTATTTTTTTATTTGTAACTAACTCAGTATAATTATAATATGAGAATAGAATTCAGGGCAGGAAACCCATCCGGGGAGTTAAGCTGCGCTTTTCGGTAACATCAAGACTAGACTCCGCTTACACTATTTTAAAAATTGACTGCATCAAATTAGAAATACCAATACACCTTCCAAAATACGTACTATAACACAAAATTACCACTGGGTAAAAAATGAATACGTATTTGTGGTTATTATAGAAGTTCCACCATACCCTAAAATTTCGATAACTTGAGACCTACATAGTTGATATATTTATTTATACTTTTTATTTAAATTATTTTTATAATGTTTTTTTTAATTAGTTATTTGTTTAATGGTTACATTTTAGTCTTCAGCGCTTTTTGTGAAAAGGAGATGTCCCACGCTCCATACATTGTTTGCCCCACAAGTAAAAGTCTATGCGTCTTGATCAAAATAGCATTGCTGTGTTGGTATTTAATTCTACAACAAGAATAAATATCATTTTGCGCTGTAGATAGCGGGGTTTTCAAGTTATAGTATTTTTTGTGTTACAGAATTTTATCATAATAAAACCATTTATTTAGCATGACATTTTAGTTTTTATGGACAATATACTTCATGAGGAGCTCAATGGCGCAGGTAGATAGCGCATTCGGCCTGCGATCGTGGAAGTTAAGCAACTTTCGCAATGGTCGGTCATTGGATGGGTGACCAAAAACTTATTATCTCGAGCTCTTCCGTGATTCGGAAGGCACGTTAAGCCGTTGGCCCCGGCTGCATCTGCAGTCGTTAGCACCCACCAATCCGCACTGGGCCCGCGTGGTGGGTCATGGCCCAATCCCTATTCCATCCATAGGTAAGGCCTGTGCCCCAGCAGTGGGGACATTAATAGGCTGGTGATGATGATGATGATACTTCATAAAACAATTAGATGTTTATAATAGATGATTTTCTAAATATAAGATAAGTTTTTGATACATGCTATAATAGGTAGAATGTCCTTCCCTACTATTTAAAAGTAATAAGGTAATGAAATAAAACACTGATTATTATATCATTGAAGTTTTTTATTCCTCATTTAACAAAATGTCATCCAGAAATGCCGCAGGAGGACTTAAACTATCTGGATTATATCTAGCCCATGACAAAAACCATATAACAACCATTACATGGGAACAGCACTCAACAGTCCTACTACCTGACTTACAATTACAGTAATAGCCCGTTATACTATCTTCTGTGTTTCCTAATGAACTGTATGTTATTTAAGTATAATATACCTTACTTGAATGGCGAGAATATGCGACCTCAAATTAAAGATCCATTAATATTTTCCTCCTCAGGCACTTCCAACTGTGAATTTAGTTTGACTACAAACATTCCACCATCTCTGACATGTTCGCCATAATATGAACGGGCCTGTTTAATTTGATAAGTGCCCAATGATATCATTTCTAATTGACTCATAGTTAAACAAGGAAAAGTGGAGAGGTGAGGTAAATGGGCGCTAATATTTCGGAAATTAACTCTTTGTCGATTCAAATTATGCTGTGTAACATACTGTCCCAAATAGTTTAGGACATTTAATTTGCTTAATGCTTTAGCAACAATTTCTCTTGCATTTGTCCTATCCCATAAAAATGGATGAAAATGGTTAATAATGGCCCCAGCTATGTAAAAGTCGACAAAAATAGGCATGATTTGATCAAGTTCTTGTTGTGAGCTTGCTGTGCTTGTTGCTTGCGCCCTATTAGCTCTCCTCCAGCAAGGTCTGCAAACTCTTGTAAATATTGAGAGGTCTGCCTGAAAAACAAAAATATGGGTATGAAATAATAATATTTATTATTGTAGTATTGTAAAAGTATATTTATATTATCTCATAATACCTGAATCTGTGGCACCCATGCTTTTATTACAGTGCACTCATGACAATTACTACCCATAGGAATGCTTCTTGCTCGTAGAACGGACACACCACATCCCAAACATACTGATCTGTGTCCATAATTTCGGCAAGGTTCATCCATCTGAGCTTGAATTTGAAGAATAACAAAGCATTCTTCACAAACTCTGTATTCTGATGAAACCTGCAACAAGTGTTTTATATAATGTTATATTTTTATTTTAACTTTTTAAACACAAAAAAGACATATTAAATAAGTCTATATCCTCAACCCTATTATTATAGTAAAAACCTACTAATTGTGTAACCACTGTAACTATCTAGAATTATTTATTGGTACTGTCTTAATAGAAATTCATAAAGAAGCGCACAAATATGTATTTCGTAGATTCTAATTAGTGGATAATGGAGTTGGTTGTACAATAACTTAGGACGTCACTTGTATCAAAATACTGTTTTTGATTATAAGAATTGTACCACTGTTTTTGTCCCGAATAAATTAAAATAAAACTAAACTTAAGACATCTAAAGAACTTTTCCTAAAATGTGGAATCAACAATTTTATTACATACTAGCAGACCCAGCGAACACCGTTTCGCCATTTTTTTTAATTTTTCTCACCTTTTAAACCTTCTCTGGACTACGACAAACATTACAAAACCAAAATCAGCTAAATCGGCCCAGCCGTTCTCGAGTTTTAGCGAGA